ACCCCCAGCCAGTGGAAGCTGCCCATTTGAATAACAGGCAGCCAAAAAGCACAACCCTCCTGCTCACTCGCTCAAGCACATGGCTGAAGAGGCAGAAACATTTTAAGACTCCTGGCGAGAACCTGCCTCTGGCACCTCAGCCCCTCCCTTCCCCAACCCTCTGCCTCAGACTCCTGCCCCGCTACTCCACATGCACCCAAACCCCCTCCTAGATCCGGCACCCCAATCTCCTGCCCGAGATCACAATCCCCTCCTACCCTAGGTCACATGCCAAAACACTGCACCCCAGTTCCCTGCCCTAGGTCACACCCAGGGCCGGATTAAGCGGGGGCTTGCCGGGCAGCTGCCCGGGACGCCAACCTATGGGGGGCGCCTGATGGCAGCTGTAAGGGGCGCTGCACGCCTGGAGCTGGGGGCCGTGCGTCCGGCACGCTCAGTAAGGTGCGCAGTGTGCCGGGGGCAGGGCCATGCATGCACTGTGCGCCCAGGGGCAGAGCGGCGCCTGCAAAATCTTGCCAATGTAGACGTAGCCACTATGTGCAGGGGCTGTCTCATAGGATAAGAGTCTACAGGCCAGAGCAAAGAAGATTTAGCATATCAATCTACTGTGGATTACACTGAAATATCATCGTGCTCATTTAAAGCCTGTAGGATCTGACATACTGGACCATTGAGTTTTTTATCCAGCAGCAGCCAGTCCAGTGTTGGCAGTTCCCACAATTCTACTGTGAGTCTGGCAATACTGAATGTGCATTGCTTAAAGCTCCAGCGGCTGGAGGCATGTGATTAGGTGAGACTCGCAGGTGCAGTGTGAGTGTTTGAGGTTGGGCTTCACCTACACTGAAGGAAGAAGCCTTTTGCAGAAGAGTTCTTGTGCAAAAGCGCGTCCAGACCTCAAAGTGCATTGCAAAAGCGATGTGCTTTTGCGCAAAACAGTATCCACACTGTATGGACACTCTTGTGCAAGAAAGCCCCGATGGCCATTCATAGAATCAGAGCACCTGTGCTTTTTCCGATAGGGGTTTCTTGTGCAAAAACCCCTCCGAAGGATCCCTTCCTGCCTTTTTGCGCAAGAGCTATAACACAAAAAGGAGTTATTCCTCGTGGGGAGAGGAATAACTCTACCGGCAAAAGCCCTCTGTTCTGTCAATTTTCTTGCGCAAAAAAGCGCTTGAGGTGTGGATGCTTTGCCATTTTTTGTGCAAAAACAGCTGTGGAGAAAAGCTGAAAAACAGGACTGAGACAATAGATGGCTAATAAAAACCCTTTGCTTTAAAAAGTAGAAACAAGCAAACGAAACAGCTTATGTGATTAAGACTTTTTTTGGGGGGGGCTCATCTTTAGGGGACCCTCCTCCCTAACAGAGGTACACAGGTGTGGGAATGCTCTTTATATTCAGGACAGCAGCGGACGGGGTTGTAACCGAAATGATCAACTAATAATTCAGGGAGTCCGTTGCTCCCTTCAGCCCCTCTACGATCTGCC